GGTAAAAAGGACTGTTATTTTAAAGATAGGAATAAAAGAAGCAAGGTCAATTTTCTAGCTAAAGCAGCAGAAACCCACGTGAGTGATGAAAGCGAAAAAGACAAAATGTATGTAGTGGATAGTGGTAGTACATGTCATATGACAAATGTGAAGACTGATTTGATACATACTAAACAGTATACTCAATGTATAAAGGTAGCAAAGAAAAATCAAAGTATGACTGCAAAAGAAATAGGCAATTTGGAATTTAAAGAGTGTAGTTTGAAAAACGTTTCATATGTTCCAGAACTCAGCAAAAATCTGCTGTCAGTGCACTGTATTACAGAAAATAGTGGAGAAGTGTTGTTTACAAAAGAGAAAGTCCAGAAACTGAAGGACAAATATGTTGTAATCGAAGGAAAAAAGGATGAAAATGGATTGTTTGTAATTAACTTTAGCGCGATGAATGAAGCTATGATGACTCAGCAAGATATAAGTGTAGACTGGCACAGAAAGCTAGGTCACATAAGTTATGCGAATCTTAGGAAACTAGAGGAGATATGCCAAGGGATACCAGAAAGTGTGAGCAAGTGTAAACATGTTGATATATGTGCAGTTTGTATGCAGGCCAAACAAGTGAGTCTCCCATTTGATACAGAAAGAGTTAGGGCTGGAAAGCCATTAGAGATAATTCATAGTGATGCGTGCGGACCAATTGATCCCACCACTTTTGACAATAAGAAATACTTCCTTACATGTTTGGATGACTATACGCATTTTTGTAAGATATACCTGTTAGAAAATAAGAGTTGATGAACCGTACCATTGTGGAAAAGGCAAGAGCATTGATTTTTGACTCAGGTTTAAGTAAGAGAATGTGGGGTGAAGCTGTACTCACTCCTGCATACCTGCTAAACAGAAGTCCAACAGTGACAGTGAATGGAATGCCAGTGGAAAATTGGTATGGTAAAAGACCACATCTGGCTGGAAATGTACACTAAAATTCTTGGACCACTGAAAGAGTTGGACAGTCGTAGCAAGAAAGGAATATTCATTGGATAAAATACAAATGGCTACAGAATATGGGATCCAAATACAGAAAGGACCTATGTCTCCAGAGATGTGACATTCACAAGTAAACCTGTGACAACAAATAAACAAAAGGAAATGGAAAGAGTGATGGATCCAGAGGACAAACCAAATACTCCAGATCAGGAAGATAGTGAAATGCAGCAAGAACCCGAAGCTGACAACAGTGAAGAAGAACCAACAGATACTGAAGAGGATGAAGAAAATGAAAATGCTGACCACAAGGATAATGGAAGGAAAAACAATGGACAAAACGAACATGGATATGCATTGAGACCAAGAAGAAACATTCAAATACACCCAAAGTACCGAGACTATCACACAGAGAGTTAAAAGGAAGGTATGCTCACCTATATATATGACGAGTGCATGGAGAGCGGAGACAGCGAGAAGTGGAAGAAAGCCATTAAAGAGGAAAAGGATTCGCTCTACCAAAAAAAAATCTTCGATATACAGAGTGTCCCAGCAGGAATGGACCAAACTTCGGGAGGGTGTTCCTTATGTTAAAGTATGCCGATATAACCCAAAACACCTATGTCCAAAGTTCAACGGTTACGGAGATAATGGCCAGAGAAGTGTCAAATTTTGACCGGCGTTGCACACTTGTTGATTATAAAATACATATTAAAACTGGCAGGAATATGTGGATTCTGTAATGTTAATAATGTACGTAACATCAAACTAACTTGTGAGTGACATGAAGCCATAAAATTGAAGTACAAAATACTCGCTCGCCATGTCATAATTGTCCTTAGGGTTTCCAAGCACTATACATGACACATGAATGGCAAGTGCTGACGTAATGTACTGACTACGTGTTCTGATAAAGCCAACTACATAAGCACGGCTAGGGTGTATCACCGCACTCAAGGACAAACACAGATAAGGCTTCTCAGCTGAGAGGTACAGTGTGTGGACCTGCAAGAAGACCACACTTTTCTTGGGCTATTATCTCCGAAACCGTTCAACTTTGGACATAGGTGTTTTGGGTTATATCGGCATACTTTAACATACGGAACACCCTCCCGAAGTTTGGTCCATTCCTCCTGGGACACCCTGTATATAAACAGAGAGAAAGCAATAGGCAACAAAATTCTGATCAGTAAATGGGTTTTCAAAATAAAGGATGATGGAAGACAAAAAAGCCAGACTGGTTGTGAGAGCATGTCAACAAAAGGAAGGGGAAACAGATTTCAACGATACCTTTAGCCCAGTTGTCGACATGAATTCTCTTAGAGTACTGTTTGCCATAGCAGCACGTAAGAATATGAACATGCAAACCTTTGATGTGAAGACTACCTTCCTGTATGAAGACCTTGAGGAGGAAAACTACATGGAGATACCAGAAGGATACAAGAATACTGGCAACATGTTTCCTGAAAAAGGCATTATATGGCCTAAGACAAGCACCATCGAATAGGAACAAGAAGTTGACAACCTTTCTGAAAGAAGAACGTCTAAACCAACTAAAATCTGACCAATGCAGTTTAAGAATGATGCCAATAGTTTGTTCATGGCCATTCATGTGGATGATGGGACAATCATGGGAGAGGATGAAAGACAAATAGAGGAAATTTTGCTGAAACTGGAAAATCAATTCCAGATAACAAAGACCACAAATCCAAAAGTCAATACAAATTGAGAGGCAACCAGATGGGATACATATCTCTCAAACCAATTATGCAAGCCAAATGTTGGAAAAATACAACATGCAAGAAAGTCGAGAAATTAAAACATCCATGGCCACGACCCCTCGAACAAATGATGAAGGAGAAAATGTCACAAGATTTCCTTACAGAGAAGCTGTAGGAAGCCTGATACATGTGACTTCTAAACCAGGCCCGATATGGCATTCGCTGTAAATGTGGAAAGTAGAACCTTGGAAAACCCTGACAAAATAGCTGTTCAGAATGTTAAAAGGACCCTTAGGTATGTGAAAGGTACGCGAGATTCAGGAATAAAATATACCTCATCTGACTCCGAAACTGTGAAACTGGAACCATTCAGTGATGCTGATTATGCAGGGGATGTAAAGGATAGGAAGAGTGTAACGGGATACGTAATTATGATGTCAGGGGACCCAATATCACGGTGCTCTAGGAAACAGAGTATTGTTGCATTATCAACCACTGAGGCCAAATATATTGCAGCAGCTGAGTGCTGTAAAGAAGTGAAATATCTAAAGACGTTGATAGAGGAGTTGACAGGAAAAAGGGTGGAAGCTGAACTGTGTGTCAACAATCAAGTGCAATCAAGCTAATAGAATCTGGACAAGTGACGCGTAGGACTAAGCACACAGACGTTAGGTATCACTACATAAGTGAACAACTGAAAGAGAAACTGTTCTCAATCAAATATTGTAATACTGAAACTCATGTGGCAGACATTTCAACAAAACCATCACCAGAGAAATTTACCAAGTTTAGAGACATTATACTTAAGAAGAAATAAGTCTGATTTTGATAAGACTGAGAAAATTTTAATTACATGTACTAATTTTGTAGTCTGAAGACCAAAATTACTAAGGGTTATTCAATTTAACTTTGTAAAACAGCTAATAATATTGTGACATGTTGCGCAACGGAGAACACCCCCCCAGCAGTGATGTGGCGGGTGAGTCAGCGCTCCGTCACCCCCCACCCACCTCCGCACGGTGACGTAATGCGCAATGCAGCTGTGACGCGGATAACACGGTGATGTGGCACCGGTTCCTACTGTGACAAGGCACTCATTATGTAACAGGCAAGCGCTGAGGCTATATAAGGAAACTACACAGCCGCAGCAGGGAGTCCAAAGCGTATCAGCCGCCGAAGTTAGTTCTCAAGTTACAAGGTACAGTTCCAAGTTCTCGAGTTCTCAATCTAGCCAGCGGAGAGTAACGAGTTAGCCAGAAACCAGTCAGTTGTATTCTGGCATTTGCAGCCTAGTATTTGTGATACTGCAGATAGCAGTAATTGTGAATCTGTAAATTGTGTGATTGTAAGAGCAAATGTGGAATAAAATTCGCTATATCCACCAAAGCGTGAAGTTATTTGTCGCGTTATACACCCAACACGTGACAATACTGTAACATTTTGAAATTAAGGAGGAATGTTGAGAATCTGGTAATGTAAAAATGTTCAAGTTGGTAATAGTGATCTATATTCATTTGTTTTTGTTTTGTATTACAATAAAATGTTTCTTCTCATCCAATATGGCTGTTAAGTGATATGTAAGCATGACACAAAGGAAATCAACACATTACAGGTCACCTAACCTTCATATGTTTTAATGCTGTCACTAATATTACCAACATGGTGGTCACAGACTCCTGAGGTCTTAGTGACAACAGGACAACTGTAGAGCCCTGAAATTTTGTATTGTAACACATCTCTGAAAAACAAGCTTTCCTTTGAACTCATGTTTATGAAAAATTTGTGAAAAATCTGTATTTATATTCCACTTCAACAGATATATCTACTGAACTTAAATTATCTGGCCCAAAATCTTGTCATTTCTGAAGCAGTATCTGTTTCAAGTGTATTTTCCATCACTCGGTGATCTGACTGCAATAGCAATTAGATTATTAAATAAAAAAACTGTGTAAGTTAACTAATTATAGTAACCTTGTGCCAACACATGATCCAAATCAGCACCCACACAACAAACACTGACTCAGCTGACAAAACATTGACTGATGTTACCTGTACGCAATGTATGGGACAGAAATCATAGTTTTTGATGTCGCCCACCTGCGATGTCTTAAAGCCATACAGTAATCCCCTCTGGCAGAATTTTCACAATGAGGTTCATGAAAGTTAGTCTTTCCATTAGAAAACTATTTAGGATCACTCATGCACAGACAACATGTATCTCTCTGTTACATTATTTTTCCTTCTGGAAACTAAGTTAAAGTTCAGGAATGTAATGAAACAAGAATCCAACGAACTCACTTCTTGAAGAGTCCAAAGTTGTGTATGTTGCCGAGAAACCCTCTCTGGAGGCACTGTAGTCAGTTTTGAAAATAATTGACATCACATTGCCTGTTGTGGTTAGTACAGGGGGAAGAGTGCTGCCACAGTAACTGTAACAATGGTGCAAAAAAATGTTATATTTCAAGATATTCTACACAGCTCACTCAAATCTGTTTGGAAATTTACACAGTGCCCTGAAGCATAGCACTTTGTCAGCCGCAAGTTTTTGCATTCTACTTTGAAAGGGTGACAATTCAACCACATATCACTGCATTCAAGCAGTAAACTCTCAAATATCTGCACATATATTTGGCATAAATCTTTAAAAATCCTCCTGACTAGAGTGTCACATAATTATTTCAGTACTAACTATTACACCTGTTTCGGTAATATGTACCTGAGTATACATTTTCTCACACTGCTGCAACTTTCTATTTTATTATTTTATTGCTCTTCATCCTGGCCTACTACCATAGAACAGAAGTTCTTACGTATGCCACGAACCTAACTAAGGATAAAGTTGCCACGACTCCTGATGAGCCAGTGAAATGAATTGAAGGACTCAAACCAGGGTTTCATACTGACATTGGAGGATCCTTGACAAGCAAGGCCAGAGACTGATCCTTCTTATAGACCAGGACTCCCACAGAGCTATCAAGGGGACCAAAGTACAGGATTTTTACAGGATGTTCTCAAGGAAATGTTAAGGTCCGGAAAGATCCTGAAGCAGAATCCCAGCAGGGAGAAGGGGCCATATTGAACCCATAGTTGGTCTTCAAAGGGGAGGCCCACCTCCTCTGGGACCAATACTGCTGAGCAAAGGAGGGTGGCAGAGACCCTGCCAGAACCAGGGACCCCTATGGAAAGAACCTGGTCCACCAAGAAAGGAAAGATAAAGGAGTGAAGCGAAAGAATAGTGAGGGAGGGCAAAAGAAACACCAGTGCTATGAAATTCATGCAAATTAACTTCCACCATAGCAAAGCAGCTACAGTGGTTCTGTACCAGTAGCTTGCTGAGGTAATGGTAGATGTGACACCTCTTCATGAAACTTGAATTTATAGTGGCCAAATAAGGTGAACAGTCTTCTCTGTTGCACCTAGAGGCATTGTAAGGTCCTGCATTTATGTCAGGAACTACATTAATGCCCTCCCTTTGCTGGAGTTCTGTTTAAGGGATGTGACAACAGTGAGGATGGCATGTTTAAAGGAGCTTATCGTTGCCTCAGCTTCCATATGACAGACAAACCACTGCCAATCAAAGACCTAAGTGACATCACTGATGATGCCACATAAGGTGAAAGCAACTCATTAATGGGTGTGATAACAGCACGCATATGAGACTTGTACATAACACTTTGTAACATTTCATTAAAATGTATTGTCACTGTGTAAAGAACTTTTCAATTTGGTGCACATAATGATGCTGACACATTCATGACATATGTACTTCTTATAATATTTGGTAGCCAAAAAATGTCCCATACTTTTGTTATCATCACATTCATAAAGGTTAATCAATACTATCAATACTACAGTACCATTTCATAGACTTGCTGTCTAAATTTTCTACAGCTACAAAAAGATTCAGCAATAAAAGGCTAACACCAACTACACTGTTGTTCATTTACAATTTATGATTTACTTAACAGCACCTTCCTACCTCATACTATTCTTACAATATATCGAAAAGTAAGGTGATATATGATTAGCGAACTGAAAAGAATGGAAGTAACTGAGGACTGCTTAGAGGGACTGTCCTATCATCTGCCCAGGAGGACTGAGATATACTGTGAAAAACCTCAGTCAGATTAGATGTTGTCCCAGCCAAGATTCAACTGGGCATCTCCTAAATATAAGTCAAAAGTGTTACTGCTTTAACCAGTTTTCTGGACAAGACATGATATACTTGTTTGGATTTGATATTGACTGTTCACAGTAGTTGGGAATAAAACAATTTGCCAAGGCATCATCTTATAAAAAAAACTACAGATTTTGTCTCAATAGTTCTGGCATTTAAATCCTTCGGATATGTCACAGTCTAAGTTTTTAAATCCTTTTAAGTACAGTACCATTAGTCTCACAATGTAATGAGAGAAATCCATTACAATCATAAGCCTAAAAACAAATTTCATATTCAAATTTTAAATCTGAAGGCTGTTTCTGTAATGAAGTAAACAGCAATCATCCATGAGAGATTAAATACATAAGGCATGACCAATGCCTTCTGCTATACAAAACTCTAACCACTACATCCTTCAAGTAAGTCTTCCACTTAATGTAAACTGACACAAAGGCTGGTTTTCACCTGACTAGAGCTAGCTTCAGACTTTCATTAGGTCCCAAAGATCCTGACAAGTGTAGTACCTGCAGCTTTAAAGAAACCATTACAATAAGAGTTACATAATCTGGAATAAAACAATGTGTAGAGGATTTGAAGTAACAATGTGTAGTCTGTTGAAATTAAAACAACATTTCAGAACAACACAGAGGTTATGCATTACTCCAAAACATCAATTGCTACACAGCATTATATCCCAGAAGATGGAACTCTTCATAGCCACTGATGAGAGAACCTCAAATACTACAAGTCACTACACATCAACTAAACAAAACAGAACCTATGCATTATTAATTTCCTTATCGTTAAAGGAACTACTATACCTCACTTTCTAATTCTGGTGTGGACTTTTGTCACAAATTTTTTACCAAATGGGTAAAATGGTTCAACAAGTCTGGGAATCACTGCCGTAAGCTACTATCATTCAGAAACTAAGAGAGGTCTACATTCAACCTGCATTACCATTATTCATACTCACATGCCCATGATTCCACCATGTTCAGGCACAGAGCTGTTATCAAACACGACCACCTTGTCATAAGGGCAGTCATCTCTGTTACCTCTGTAAGGGTTACCCTCCAGACGAAATGACTGCCAAGTTAGTTGCACCACAGTGTTAAGTGCCCCAACAATTATCCACCGACATGTGTGATCATTTGGGTAAACCAATGGGTAGTTTGGAGACTGGATTGTGCCCTGTTGCTGCTTCAGAATGCCTCCACATCCTGTGCAATACACATATTGTAATATGACTGTCAGATATTACTACATGCAAACAGGGCACTTGTAAATATAACTGGGCACCTGGCCAATCACAGTGGCTGTGCCGGCTAAGACATGAACCACCTCCGCCCACTCGAACAGTGGGATCGTGGTTTCGAATCCTAATCAAGGCAGGATGTCTGTGTGCATTTATTCTGTGTTTGCATTGTTCTGCATAGGCAGAGGCCTTGCGTGGGCTGATCCCCTGTCTAAGGTGTCCTACCAATTGTGTATGGACTAAAAACAGAGAACGTGCTCAAGGTCCACAAGGGCTGCAGAGCCATATATAAAAAAAATAACTAGCCACATAATCTAGTGTATGACTGGTTAACTGAGTGAGTGAATGAATGAATTCGTTACTTTCCCATAACACAAACTGAAGACTGAACACTACTAATAACAAAGTCTTCATATAGGACCTTAAACTACGCTAGTTTGATTTAGTTCACATCCCCACAACATAAGACCAATTTCAATATTATACTTTGAAGTGGTTCTGCAATAATTTGCTGTTTTTCTTAACTGAGTCTGACTTATAACAGTCCTTTTTACTGATACATCATAATAATGCTAAAAGAGAAACATAAATCAGAGAGTTTTTTTATTCTGCAGTAATTTCTCTTCCCGCTTGACTGTACTCTATTTCTTCTTTAGACATTCTTTCCAAAGAGGGGTATAATGATGTAGATAAAGTCACAAAATCTCTCCACAACCTCATATATTTTCACATCTACCTCAGTCTATAATTTAAGTTGCTTCTACTTTTAATACTATTTGAGTAAGCCATATCAATACTGGTTGTTATTTAGGTTTTCAATTTTTCTCTTCTCAGCACCGATCATTAAGTTCTCTGTTTAACGTCTATTTACAAAAAAAAATAAAATAAATAATAAAGCAAAGTAAGCATTTACAAGTTCCTGAAATTTCTTCATTGTCTGGTATTTCAAACAGACCACACCATGTCAGAAAATGGTTTTGTTTCCATCTTCAGACATCTACCCAGTTCTATCTGCCAGAAAGACCAAGTCTCAGTCACTGGACAATTAGTGGCTCCAAAATACTGTGTTCTGTTTGAAACACTAGACAACGGGTAACATCCAGAAACCCAGTAATCCTAAGTGGAATATATTATTGTCAGAACCCTTTAGAATTGAAGAAAACATGTTATTCCTCTTTGTTGTTAAAGAATAAAAGTGAGTTCTATTTATACTTCACACCTTTATAAATAAATATTTATAACAGCCAATAAAGATGAGGAAGCGTGGAACTTGCTGGAACAGCTGATATTCTGTGACCATTCATTACTGCTGCTACTATCAATTTGCCAGCACAGTGCCATTTGGAAACTTTTAATGCTATAGTCTATAAGTTGGTCACCTGTGTAAGGTGGCCAGGCTCAAGAAGAACTACAAGTGGACAATGCAGACAAGTTTCACTGTACAAGAATACAGTTGCAATAACTTTGTCATAATGTCCTACATCAGTTTTAGCAGTGCCATTTGTTTGCATCTGAATTTTCTCACAGAAGGACTGGTATTCAAACCTGCAACTGTTTCTCTCTTGTATAGAATCACCTCTGTATTCTTCTTGCCCCAATTGCTTGTAATCGGGAGTGCACTCACGATATTGTCACGTGTATCAGTGACTAAAGATGGGGTTCAGATTGGTAATTAGATCTAGTGATCACTTACAATCCATAACTACAAATAATTATAACACTGTTACTCATTTTCACACTATAAAGCACTCCATGCTAATCTCTTCAGTTTATCTGCACTAATCTTCAAGGATTTATAACACAGGAACTATAGAAGTCTCACTAAATCACACACTCCCAACATCATTATGCTATTGCACACATAAAACTTCTAATTCTTCTTCTGTTCACATTGCTGTTTCCTTGGAACTTTGGAACTCAATTGAAGTCCAGCTATTACTCACTCCTCCAGCTTATGACTGCTCACTCCTCCAGCCTACGACTGGTCGAAAATGACCTTTTGTGTCTCCCATAAACCTTTGGTGCAGACCTACAGAAAACACTTCACGTACTCTCTATCCACTGTTGTTTGACGTCACTGCCTATGCAGAAGTGTGTTTACCTAGCCGTTGCTTAGAAACAGGTTGCATAACCCCATTATTCCACCACTACTCAGCACAGACAACATAGTAAACACAGCCTCATCTATTGTTGCATGTTGGACCATGTTTACAGAGCTGTTGCCTGGCAACGTGTTTATCAAATCTGTTACGATACTTTTGGGTACACCAATGTAATGTTTCTGCACTGTTGTATCCAGTAGCAGCACAGTCTGAAATTGTGACTACCACAAGGAAGGTAAAACTATAACTGCTAGCAGTTATAACAAAGGAAATTTGAATATATCAAAAAGATTTTGTTATAAATGACAATTGCAGCATGTCTCATTCTCATAATAAACGCAAAACATTAAAATTAACAGGATGGTGATATTTTCAGTGGGAAGCACATGCAATGAAAAGGGAAATACAGAGAAGCCTGTATGTACTGTGCCTAGATGTGTCACTTTCCTGGATCCATCATTCAATTTCTGTGGTCCCCAAAAAAATCCTATTTAAACTATGAAAATGAAACCCACATCAATCATTCTTCAATTTATCATTTTTCCACATCTATTGGTCAAAATTTTTAGTCCTGCACAACGTTATTCCTGGATTGATCGTTTTTAAGAAAGAGTAACACTACACACATTAATGTTGGTACACAACGGTAGTAGAAATAGCAGTTGATGTTTTTAGAACATGGTGTAGCAAGTTGCAGTTTTAGCTCTGTACCATTAGCTGTGTGATATGCCATGTTGAGTGTCTTACCTACCAGACTATGAGTTGGGGGGAAGGGGGGCTCTCGAGAGCCGGCGGGGGGAACTTTCATGTATGTTAGTTTGTTAATACTGAAGGGTTATTATTCAATTTGAAAAGCAAAGGTGCCACTAAACAAAAGAGGATAAATGACTTTTTAAAAAGAAGTAACGCAAATTGGACTTGATAGTGGAAATAACATCACTGCTGTACGTTTTTTAATTTAGTAAATAAATACACTAATGTGACCGTTTTATGCATTTTACATAGGCACCCACATCTATAGCTTTTCTGTATCCAACATTTTTTTTTTCAGGACCTCCAATGAAAATGATGAATCAAGGTTGAATGCAAATTTCTCTCTGTAAATCATGGAGTGATAAAAACTGGAGAAATATGCATGTTATGGTCTGAAAAATATAGTAATTACAATTCAAAATTATTTTCTTAAATAATTCTTAAAGAAAAAAAGGAAAAGGATTTAAGCTTTCCCACAAAGTAGTAATGGGTATGTAAATGTGTGTACCCACTAAACAGTTCTGAATCAAATTCAAGTTTCCTTCAGAAGTATCATATAAAAACCTACACTTCAGTACAGTGCACATAAGGAAGTAAGTAAAGTAAAGCTATTCCTGTAACAGGTCGTGAAGGCCAATAGGGTTGCGAGATGTTGAGGGTCCCACATTATCTAGATAATCAGCTGAAAGATGGCAGTAAGGTTGTCAGCCTTATGAGCCGCCTGTGCTTCACTCCCCAGGAAAATTATTTAATTAATGCCTGGTACTCATTTCTGTTAGAGGTTGAGTTGACCCCAGGGCCACAGTGCGGCTGGAAGGATTGGGTCAATTGAAAAAATCAAATGACCTCATAAGGACTTGAACCTGCGACCTTCCAGGCCGTCCTTAAATCAAACTTGTTGTTCCAGTTATGCTCCATATGGAAGTATCTTCAATGAAACTGGTGCCTCTACAAAAGTGTCCCAAATTAAACTACCACCATCTTAAATGAAACCTGTGTTTCCAGAGAACTGCTTAATAAACTTGTGCTCCCCATAAACATGTTCTGATTAAAACTTTTATTTCACCAACACTGTCATGCACACAATTTGTTTCTCCCAAATCTTTCCATAATTAAACTTGTGGATGCAAATAAATCCACCCTGCATCAAACCTGTTTTTTCTACAAAAATGTTCCAAATGAAACTAGTGGGCTCACAAAAGTGAACAGAAGTAAACCTTTGCTTCCTCATAAAAGTGTTCAGTAGCATAAAGGTGTAGCTGGGACTCAAAACTCACCAACATCGATAGAGGAGTAGTTGGCATAGAATCCACGGTTTGATACGGATCCATCTGTCTTGAACTTGAGCCAAAGGAAGTTGTACTGTGATGTGATGCATGGACTGGGAAACTGATCCCGTCCCCCACAATACTGACCCAGCAGTGTGGCGTTCTCATTGTGACCATCACGAATCTATACACAAAACATAATGCATCAGACCATGCTACATAACAATGTCATTGTCAACAATGACCACAATAAGTGAGAGGTATGTCTACCCACTGTTATGGTTACTAAACTATCCATGTCTAGCCTCAGTAGCAATTTTTATGGATAGCCCTGTTCTAATGTTAGGTCGTCATGGCATGGTGTTTAATTGATTAAGCACAAGGACAACTTTAACTTTACCTTAATCTGTTCTAATGTCTAGCAGTCACTGTCAGTGTTCCAGATGAGGAGTAATGTCTTCATGAATCTAAATTCTGGAGTGTTTACAACCCTGCAGTGAGCCTATTAATATTGCTCCATCCATTTACCCTTCTATCTGTACGTATGAAACAACTCAATAGCTAGTGAATGGATTTTCATGAAATTTGATACTGGGGAACTATACCAAAATTTGTTGATGTATTTCAATTTTGGGTAAAATTGAAGAAAAATAATGTGCATTTTACATGACGCGCATATGTATTTTTGTGCATATCTCATTTATAACATCTTAAATATTTACTGCATATAATTCTGAATGAAACCTGACCTTGCAGTAGGAAAAATATCCATAGAAGAAAAGTAATTCTGTGAACCAATTTTAAACCCTTACTAACATGATGTGAAAGAAAACAAATATTATAAAGCATACTATACAGAATATTTATTAATTCAGTTTTGTTCTTGATGCCACTGCCCTTTATTCAGCTTCTCCAGTCTCCTCATTCACCATTTTTATCATCTGTATCAGTTTCAGTGCCTGCAAAACTCCCATCTTCTACCTCACACTTACTGCTCACACTCTCATGTTCACTGCCAACATTGCCAAAATATTCATTAGGCAATCCCTTTAACATAATCCAGTTGTACAAACAAAAACAGTTACTACAAAATTTTTGAAGTTCAAGAATGAAAAATCAGCCGGTCAAATGATTCTTTTGCGTGATCTTATCTGTCCCACAGTGGCACATTAAATTCCCCCAGACACTTAAATTTGTCACTGTGGCATTTTCATAATTTTTCTCCCTTTTTAAAATGCAATAATTCAATCATGTGCCATTATAAAATTATGGAAGAAAAAGCCACTAAAACACCAATTATCAGACTTCATGTACCTGTATTTTCATTTATAGTCATTACATTAAGGTGTACATGTATTTTTAGTAGAATTCTGTACTTTTGGCTTTATTCTAAAAAATGGGTCACTGTCGCCACTGACTTTCATTTCCATTCAGCTTATATGGTCTCATTGTATGCCTGAGTCATGCACATTCAATATACGCATTCTTGACTGGTGTCTGATTTTTTTAAATGAAACACAATCATCATCATCATCTTCTTCTTCTTCGGCGCAACAGCCCGATGTCCTCCCTTGGCCTCCCTTATCAAGTCTCTCCATTCCTCTCTGCCCTGTGCTGCTCTCTTCCAGTTCCTTACACCCATTCACTTCTTCGCATCTTCTTCCACCACATTAATCCATCTAGTTCTTGGTTTCCCAGCATGTCTCCTACAGCCTGTTGTATTATATAATATTTTCTTTGAGATACGCTCCTTATCCATCCTCTGTACATTCCCAGCCCATTGCAATCTTTCAAACTTTATCATCACAGATCTCTGGCTCCTTATATAATTTGTATAACTCTTTTATTATATCTTATTCTCCATATCCTATTCTCTTTTACTGGTCCATAAATTCGTCTTAGGATTTTCCTCTTGGAAGAATTGATGACTGATTCCTCTTTCTTGTTTAGCGTCCAACCCTCACATCCATAATAAAACACTGGTCTTATCATCATTTTATATTTTTTTGTTTTAATCGCTCGGTGTATATCCTTTGATCTAAAAACTGATAGTAACGAGAAATGTCTAACATAATCCACCATAAAGAGTCTTATTATTAGTTGTGTAAGTGTTTATACTA